ATTTAGATATAAATTAGTTCTTTCCCTATTTCACGACCGATTATGTAGACAAGGAGACTGTGGATGTAGGTAAATAGTTATTCAGTACCAATGGTTGAAGACATAATTGATTATATGGTAACATCCAAGTAACCGATCTGGAAGATGCGAGTATATTACATGTGATTGACCCAATACAGAACAATTTGGACGAAAAGAGTTTAATATCCCATTTCCATTATGGTCACACATTTGATTAATGTGTACTCAGTCCACGAATAAATCTAAAAAATTCGGCCATCAAGAATAAAGAATAGGTGCGAACACATGAAAGTGCGAAAATAAACATTTAAAAAATAGTTAGGTGCTTAGGACAAATTTGTTAATAATATGGTTGGCTAAGAATGAGTTGGGATACTGAGAAGAGCTTCCTAAAAAGGGTTCTAACCGGTGAGGCGAAAGGTGCATCGATTCGTCAATATATGAGACTGGATTCCCATTGTCACCTTGAATCGTGTAGCTAAGGCTATTGCGACTTTGATTCAGATGGTGACTGTTAACATTATTCGGAGATAAAGTAGGAGGATGAGTTGCCAAATGGTGATTGAATGCCTCCGTAGTCTGACCAGTCAGAGCTACCTCTCGAGCCAAAATCGGAGGTGTTGGGTTGTAATGCTGGCTTGGATGATTATGTTGCAGGTGATGATTCGGAGTCTGGTGAAACTGAGGTAGAGATTGTTCTCTATTATGTGGCGAAATTGATTGCGGTTTGGAATGACCTTCCTGGCTAGAGTACAGCAGTGAGTTGTCGTTGAGGAAGCCTGTTGATAAAGAATCGAAGTGAATCTGCTGTATTGAGGAGCCAGAGGGATAATGACCGGTGGAGACCGACGGTTGGACGTACTGAAGATGAGTTTCGGAGGCTGAAAGTTCAGGGTGTGAATTTTCTGCAGGGTTGAGAGAAGCTGATAACTTAGGTAGAGAGATAATGGCCCTAGATTCACTGGAAGGAGATAGATTGGAAGCTAGACAAACAGGAAAAGAGTTATACAATGGAGAAGTGTTATATATTGAAGTTCGAATTTCATGTGTATAGATAGACGACGCGGAAGAAGGAGAAGAAGAAATGGCATCCCTTGATGAAATTGAGGAAGT